GGTTTTATGAAAAATTGAGACTTTTATGAAGAGTTGCGACTTTTGTGAAAGGTTGTGATCTTTTCAAAAAGTTGTGACTTTTTCAAAGAGTTGTAACATTTTCAATAATGCACAATAAACATTTGTTCATACCACCCTTAGTTGTTTATAAATAGAGGGGTTTCCTCTCATTTTAAAACAATGAAAATTCTAAACTTCTTCTTCTTCTGCACAATTAAATATTTAGTTCTGAACAACTTCTTTTTCTTTTGCACAATTAAATATTGGAGTAGTTTCCTCCCTGTTGAATGGCTCACAGACAAGGAGACGTTGTGCAATCAGTGAGCTCAATTTTTTTTACAGATCCTAGTATGCTTTTTATAGTCATTAGTTTATGTTTATGAGTATATATTTCTATAAAGTTTTCGTTTCAAATATTTATTAGTACACATATACTCTATGTAAATCCAACTACTGTAGATTCATAAATAACTTTTTTCCAGAATACATTTATTTATAACATTCTCCAAAAATTGGAGTAGTTTCCTTCTGTTGAATGGCTCACAGACAAGGAGACGTTGTGCAATCAGTGAGCTCGATTTTTTTTTACAGATCCTAGTATGCTTTTTATAGTCATTAGTTTATGTTTATGAGTATATATTTCTATAAAGTTTTTGTTTCAAATATTTATTAGTACACATATACTCTATGTAAATCCAACTACTGTAGATTCATAAATAACTTTTTTTTTTCAGAATACATTTATTTATAACATTCTCCAAATAAATAGTTTCTTCTCCAAGAGATCAAGCCTAAAAATTTATATGATTTTTTGTTGTTCTCATAAGTAAAAAAAAAAAGAGTCAAATGATGAAATTAAAACTAGCAATTAATTACAATTATATGATATACAATAATGATTATTCTCTTACACCTAAATACCTTTTTAAACTTTTTCCCCATTTAATATTTTGTTTGTGCACAACATCAATTTGAAAATATTATCATAACTATATTACATATAAAATTTTGATTTTGAAAAATTATATTTTAATTTTAAAACACATAACGACTACATATTACTTATCGGTATATCATATGACTATGGAATATTTGCTCTTGATAAAGACATTAGTTATATACATATTTCAAAAAAATATTTAATATTTTGAAAGTAATCGATAGTACTAAAGAAATTTGCAAAGAAGAAAATTGAGAAAAAAATTTATTTGACTCTCTAATCAAAGACATTATGTAACCATGCATACATATGGTAAATAAACTAACCATTGAAAATTTCAAAAGCAAATTAATGAATCTGTAAAATGAAATTATGTAAATTAGGAGAAAATAGTGTTACGATTTGTAATTTTGCCTTTTCTTTTAATAAAATAAATGGTAAACTAGAATTGAATAACCTCTATACTTTTAAAAATAGGTTTATATAAAAATACTATACATCAAAATACAAGAAAGTTCTATTCTAAAAAAATTTAAAGAAGAATAATCTAAGCACGCAAAACGCGAACCTAATAACAAGTATAATATAATATAATATGCATAAATAAATATAATGCAATATAAAATGTACAAGATATACTACATTTAGTGTTCCAAGTTGGAGTATTATGATAATTTAACATTTAAGTTATGAGTTCATTCTTTTAAGATAGTGCAGATCAAAAAAAAAGAAGATAGATACAGATAATTAGTCTAATTTTAATTTGATATGAAATTTCAAAAAATAAAGAAGACTTTTAATTTAAGAATCATTTGTAGAATATATAAAATGTTTTTTTAACTTCGTGGCCTTAAAGATGCGTCCTCAACCCCCAAAATAAAAGAAAATTCTTTTTAAATTGAATAAAAATGAAAGAACAATAAATAAATTGAAAACGAAAGAGTATTTATTAAATGTAGTTTGGATTCATCAAAAGAGTTTTTGATCAAATACTTTTTCTCCAACAGTTCGAGACTTTTCAGATTCTGAACACTAACTTGTAATTTATGCAACGGAAAATTATTCAACTTCTTGTCAAGGAAGAATTGCTACAAAAGTATATTTTATGGCTATAAAATCGAGTGCATATTAATTGTCACAATACTCTTCTCGTTTGAATTTGAGTTATTTCATTTTCTTTTTTGCATCAATTTTTAATGATCTATCTAATTTATCCAAAAAATATTGTAATTGCATAATCGAATAACCTCACAATCTTTCTTGTTCTAAGTAGAAGAATAGAAAACTTATAAAATTTAAAGTTTAAAAGTGTGAGAAACCCCCCTTTATTTATAGACAACAAAGGATAGTATGACAAAATGTTTATCATGTCTTTTCAACTAAGTCACAACCCTTCAAAAAAATCACAACTCTTTGAAAATATCATAACTCATCAAAAAAGTCATAATCTTTCGAAAAATTCACTACCCATAAATGTGAAAAGGTGTCTGCATTTAATATACATTAGTGTATATCAATATAATATATTAGATATATAGTATATAGTAAATTGGTTGTTTTAAGTTGGGGATATTATAGTAATTTAACATTCAAGTTAGAAAGTTATGCTTTTAAGGTAGTATATATAGATAGATTAGGTTTGGGGTATTATAGGAATTTAATATTCAAATTAGAGAGTTTATGCTTTTAAGATAGTATAGGTTATAAAGATAATTTTATTTGTGGATATGATTAACAAGTAGTAATACTAATGCGATGTAATATTATCTTGTTGATACTTATGATAATATTTTAAAGTTATAGTTTGATTTAAAAAATTACAAAAGAACTCATTCAAAAAAATTGATCAGTCCGGCACAGCCCATAATCCACGTACTTGTGTATTAGGCTTACTATCTTCTAGCACACTAAAAAATGGGTCAGCCGAACCTTGCCCGTCAAATTTCAAAGCCTATATGAGTTAGTCCGGATGGAGTGGACCAACCCATATTGACAACTCTAGATTCTCATAAACCTATTTGAAAAATTGTGGTCAAAAGAAGGGAAAGTTGTAATAGCAAACTATTAATTCAAATTAAATGTTATAATCACAGTTATATTTAATTGTAACCCATAGCAAAAAAAAGTCATTTGCCTCTGTCCCTAGATAATCTCGCTTGCCACTCTATCTGATCTCGCTCATCACTCTCCATCGTCTCTCTCACTTTATACAAATACAAATGTATAAATTATTTTTGTGTTTGTATAAAGTGAGAGAAAACACATATATTTTCGTCCTATACATTTGTAATTATATAAATACAAATCTTTTCCTATAAATTACAATTTATAGTTTGTGTTGTATAAAATGAGAGAGATTTGATATACAAATATTTTATTCGATTCAATTGTATACAAATTTAAATTTATGTAGATATATAAATACAATTATGGACACATATACATAACAGTTACATATATATAATTATCTAACTGATATATATATACAATCGTTGTGCTTTTATACAAACGAATGTATGCCTTCTATTTATTAAATGATACTCCATAGTGAACATAAAATTTGCTTTAAAATATAATTATGCAAACTAAATCTATAACATATAAATATAATTTAATGTTTACTAAACCTAAAATTTACTCTGAAAAAATTATGATAATGTCAAATTATGAAATATAGAAAATATGAAAAAAACTATATTCCATTCGATGTATTGCCTTTGAACCCTACCCCTTGTATAATCCAAATTAATAGTTTTAGATTTGAGTTTTGCTATGTAAAAATTATTATGGAATTTTTTTTTATATAAATTATTCGAAGTTGGTTGCGCCACAATTCTAATATCATTGGATAAGAATTAAAAAAAGAGTCAATCATATCTGAGGTGATGTATTATTGTATAGATGAAAACATAAAACATGTATAATACACAAGAAAAAAATACCCAGTATATTTTAATCTATTAAAAATATACATATACATACAAAAAATTGTAGAAAAAAAAACTGTTGGGACAGTAGAATCAATTTATGTATTTGGAGCAATAAATAAAGTACAAAAAACTGAACTCGTGATGTTGCTAAAAATCACAACACATAGCCCCTTTTTTTCCTTTTTATTATTATTATTTATATATGCTTTGCATGGCCCCACACCCCAAACATGCATATTTATTCTACCTAAAGGCCAACTATACCATGAATTCAGTAGATTTTTTGTCCAGAATATATGTATATATATATATATAAATAATAAACTATTTTTATAAATTATATTATTCTTAAATAATTGACATTAACTTTAAATCTTCAATATATCTGTTTCTATATTCAAAGAGATCTGTATATAAATTATTTCACTATTATGTCGGCTAAAAGATGAATATATAACTAGCTATAGACAATGCGATTATTAATTTAGAAGGAGAAGTAAATTATGTGCTGTAACATATTAAGATTTATTAACATATTTAGTACAGTTTCACAATCAAAATTTAAAAAAACTATAGTAAATAAATATTTTATTTTTTATTTTTGTGTAGTAGAGATATGGTATCCAATACACTTTTAACTCAAAAAAATAGAAAGTAAGATAAAAAAAAAGAGATAACTAAATAACAATGCACAAACTAAAGTATAACAATAGAACATTAATAGACATTTGGACAAACGTGATATCAAAATCATAATACTAAAAGTACAATAATAATAATACACTACCTATCTCCTTAATTTTCAACCTCCTTGCCTTTTGATCTAAGATAATGTCAATCAACTGAAAACTATATCAATATTTTGTTTAATTACCTCCACAAATTCTACTTAAATTTACCTTCATCTTTTTATAACTCCTGATATAGTATATTAAGATATACTAACAACAACATATCCAATTTGTCTTACTTAATGAAGTTTGAAAATAATAGATTGAACACATATTATATCTCTACTGATGTGTCTAGTTTGTTTTTCGATATTTTATATATATATATATATATTAATACTATTTGGTTTGTGTATATAGTTAAATCCACATAAGGGGGTGGGGTGGGGATTGTAGTATATAATATCTTTCATATGTAACCAAAGCTTGTGAGAGGCCATTTGTATCTGTCAATCACTAACTTCAAAGCACTTTTTCATTTTAAGCTTGTCTTGATTTTCATTGAATGCAAAAGTAGCCATGCCACTACAAGCTCCATGTGATCTACAAATCCATGTAAATGGTCAACAAACATTCTTTCTGCACCAGGTAACCCAAAAAAAAGAAAAAGAAATTCATAAAAATCCAATCTTTAAACTCCTCCCTTTTCCCAATTGATCCATATTAACTAATTTTTAGTACTTTCTTTGTTGTTGCAGAAAGTCCTTTCAAGATTTTCTGGGAAGTTAAGGAAGATAATCAAACAAGAAAAGAAGAAAACTCAGATTAAGAATTCAGGTATTGAGATTCTTGATTTCCCAGGTGGGGCACAAGGGTTTGAACTTATTTCAAGATTCTGTTACAACAATGGTAGCAGCAATAGCATTAAAATCACTGTCTCAAATGTTTGCCTTCTCATTTGCTCTGCAGATTTTCTTGAAATGACAGAAAAGTTGTCTTGTTGCAATCTTTTGTATAAAGCTGAGACTTTTTTTGAAGGATTGTGTTATTGGTCCTTTCATGATATTCTGAAATCCCTAAAAAGCTGTGAAACTTTTTTTGATTATGCAATTTCTTGTGGGCTGATTGAAAAGCTTATAACTTCACTTCTTGGTACCCTTTTTGGTTCTTCATGTTCATCATCTTCCTCTTGTTCATCTTCTGAACAAGTAAAGCCATGTTCTTGGTGGTTTGAGGAAATGACCATTTTACCCCCAAAGATGATAGAAGAGTTTTTAAGGACTTTAGGTGCTTTTGGTAGTGAGAATAACAGCTTACTCCTCACAAGATTCTTGCTTTATTACCTAAAAACATCATCCCATTGTCAAAATATGATTTCAAGAAGTGAGTATAGTGGACTTGCTGACACAGTAGTTCATGGGGTAGTCAAAACAACATTTTCTTGCAGAAATCTTTTTTGGGTACTGAGAATTGTATCTGGTTTCGGGATTAGCAAAGAATGCAGGGGTTGTTTGGAGAAACTGATTGGGGGGGTGCTTGATCAAGCAACACTAGATGATATCCTTGTTTGTGGTCACAACAATAATATTGGTGGTGTTTATGATGTGAATCTTGTGATGAGATTGGTTAGAGTTTTTGTTTATCATGATAAAGTTACAATAACAAAATTCAGAAAAGTTGCAAGATTAATTGATAAGTATTTGAGAGAGATTGCTCCTGACCAAACTCTTAAAATATCAAAGTTTCTTGCTGTTGCTGAGAGTCTACCAGATTATGCAAGGGATTCTTTTGATGGAGTCTACAGAGCCATTGATATCTATCTTGAGGTCATTATTACTTTTCTTTCTTCTTATATCCATGAACTAATAAATGCTACTATAATTTATCACCCCTTCTTTTCAAGTTATTTATCTGATTTTGACTTGATAATCACATTTGTGGTGTCAAACGAAAGATATATAAAATGTATACAAATGTTTTTTTACTCTTGTGATCATAAACATATTTTTGCAGAAAACTAGATTTAAAGATTTTCTTAAGTAAGACAAATAAATTTATACTTAGTAATAACTTCAAACTATATTGTCCGAATTCTTCAAAAAATATTGTCATACTCGTGTCAAGTCCTACAAAGTACATAACTTTTGAAGAAAATTATACTTATCCAATAAGATTTTTGAGGAAGAAGTTGGAGCAACATAAATTTTACATTCCTGTTAGATAAAAAGTTTTTAATGTATTGACAATTGCTAAATGATATGGAATAAGACAAGAAGATGTCCTTCCAACAAGGCAATACTTTTCAGCTTTTTGCTCTTTCCTTATTGTTAAAAATGTGTCATTGTGGAATCTTTTTGTGAAAACTCACAAGGGGTGCAAAAAGCTTCACTTACTCCACTTGATAATAGGTATGCACTAGTGGCTGCTAATTATAGAAGTATGCTGCTCGAACCTTTTAAAAATATTATTTCATTCGTATTGAAACTTCTAAAAGTACATACGTTTTGAAAAATTTAATAGATACTTTGTTATATTTTTGAAGAGTCCATCCAACATAACTTATAAATTTATATAGTATTGTATATTGCCATGTGAAATGCAATTTTGCTTTGTAACTGGTCATGATCTAAAACAAGGCAAAACATACTTTTGCTTTTCTTTTTATGTTTATTTGGTGGAAGGAAGAAATGCTTTATCATATGACAGAATAACTCATAAAGACATGTATGTAAAGCATTGATGAGAACACTCAAAAAAAAGTAATTGAATTTAGTACTATGAGTTTCAAAATTTTGAACTTAAAATGGAAATAGTAGGGTCATTAAAGTTTGTCATGGAAACTTGTGACCTCATTAATTCATGAGTACTTTTATGAAAATCAGTCAGTCATCTACATGGGACCCTTTAGACTTGAGTGGTAGTTGGCTAGTTGCTCAACAGTAACATCTTTCTTGGACAGGCTTAAGTTATTTGAAGATTTGTATCAGAAACTAACTATTCTTTCCGTACCTTTTATTTGTTCATTTTGGATTCTGCACGTATAGTACTAGAATTTAAATAATATATAATTGATATTAAAGATAAAACGGCGGAAAATAATTATTTTTTTTTGAATTTTTTAAAAATGGTAGATAAAAGTAAAAATTTATTTTTGAAATAAATGAATAGATTATTTATTTATTTTTAGGTAGTTTGAATTGATTTGTGTTTTCTTGTTTTTTTTCTCTGTCCTTTATGTCCAGAATTCTTTCTAAAAACACCTTTTTAATTTGCAAGGAAATCTCCTCGACCCTTAACATAGTTGAGGTGTTATTTATTAATTATATTACGGTATTTGATTGAACACAAAGTTTAAGCTAGAAAGATATACTAGTGACATGAACATTCTTTAGAACTTGTGATCGTAAATATATCATGACATTTCAATATCGATAATATAATATAATTCAGAGTAAGACGAAAAGTTAAGTTAAAAGAGATTTCAAAGAAAAGACTGTCTCTTAAAAAATGGAACCGAAAGAGTTATGACTTTCATTTCACCTTATTTATTGCTTCGTCTGTTTCAATTTATGTATCTTACTTTTCTTTTAATTCCGTTTAAAATCTCTTTTCCTTTTTGATATCTCTTTCATTCTAACTTTTCACATGACATGTTTAAGACCACATTAAAGCATATTTTTGTATATTATACATTTCTTTAGTTTAATTACAAGATTTAAAATTTTCTTGACCTTCTTAAACTTCATGTCAAGTTAAAATCAGACAAACAAATTTGAACGGACCAGGTATGTTTGTTGCAGCTAACATGTATAAATTTGGTTGCAGTCTCATCCAGTCCTTTCATTAGAGGAAAGATCAAGATTATGTAGATGTCTCAACTATGAGAAACTAAGCCTTGAAGCATGCAAGGACTTAGCAAAGAATCCAAGAATTTCACCAAGAATTGCTATCAAGGCACTTGCTTCTCAATGCTCTTCAAGTATTCCAACAATAGAAGACAATAATAACCAAATGGTTTTGTACAAGACAAACAAGAGTGATCATCACAGTTCAAGTGTTGCTAGTGATCAACAGAGTTTACAAGAAGAGGAACATGAATATATGAGGCTAAATTTGCAAAAGATGCAATGGAGAGTTGTGGAGTTGGAGAAAGTATGTAGAGATATGAAAGGTCAGATGACTAAAATGGTGAAGACAGGGACTCAGACTAGAGCTCTGCCTAGGCTTTGTAGAAGTCAAAATTTCTAAACACAGGAAAAAGAAAAAAGAGGACATATGTTGATAGAACACATTTGTCGGTGGAGTGGTAAGTATTTTTCTATCCTTAATCAAAGGTCTCAGATTCAAGCCTAGAGTATGGAGTCGTCTTTGTTAAAAAGAGATTTACTTCATAAAAACTTCATGGTACGAATCAAGATTTAATCGGGGACCATGTAAGCAATGAATACCAGATGAAAAACCAAAATATATATGATCATTCACATATAATATTCCTTTTTCATTTTCTACTGTATTAATTATATTACGGTATTTGATTGAAAAATGATTTATAAATCATAAAAGGGATCACAACCAAGGCTGATGACCTTTTCAATTTTTCAAAATTTAATGTGTTAAAAGGGTATATTTAACATATTTAGGGGTCGTTTCGTAGAGTGTATAAGAATAATGCAAAATAGGGTGTATTAGTAATGCTTGCATTAGTTATGCAAACATTATTTCTTATACATTGTTTGATTTGATGTATTAGAAATAGCAAACTTGCAATTTAAAAATATATGTTTACAAAAATATCCTTCATACTTTATTTATTTTTACACTTCCTTACAACAATTTTCTTTGCTAAAACATTATTAACTCCTCCTCCTCCTCCTCTTCTTCTTTTCAAAAATAATATTAAATAGTTGTACTATTTGAATCAAAATATTTTTATGAAAAATTGGAAAAGAATTTTTTTTATCAAATTTATCGCCATTCGCCACAATAGTAATTTTTCTAATTAAATTACGTTGAAATTAGATTATTATTTTTTTAGAAAAAATATATTTAAGAGGCCATAAAGTCTATTGAAACACCAACAAATTAAAAGATATAGAAAAATAAATGAAAATAAAACACATGACAACAAAGAAAATTAAAAGAAAAGAAAATGTTAAGGAAATGTTTTAAAAAAGGCTTTGAGGGTAGGTTTGTAATTATTTAATCTAATGCAAGTGTTGAATATGATGCATTGCATAATATTTTTAGAAAAAAATATTTGTTTACAAAAATAGCCTCCACAAATATAGTGGAAAGGATACAAAAATGTTTCTAAGGGCAATTGTGTCTTTAATAATCTTAACACATGCATTAGAACTGTAACGACCTGTTTAGTCGTTTTGAGCAGCAGATTTTACTTCTGGAAAAACAGGCTGAGACGACGGAACCCACGATGGAACGTCATGGGCACGACGGACCGTCGAGGGTGTCTCATCCCAAAAGACTTAGAAATTCTGAAATTTGGGTGCTGAAATCGACTCTCTGAACTATATATATATATATATATATATATATATATATATATATATATATATATATATATATATATATATATATAAAATAAAAGCATGAACTCTTAACTTGAATGTTAAATGGGTCGTGACAAGAACCCATTGCATAACTAATGCATAGAAATAGATGGTATTAGTAATACACTCTTTAATACACAATAGAGTGTATTACTTATACAAGTATTATTTTGCATAGGTTAAAAAAGTGTACCAAACAAATTACCACTAATACATCAAGTTAATGCATGCATTATTTTCTCTAATATACTCTACCAAACGACACCTTAGTATATTCTCAAATTTGGAGTTTGAGAAGACAGTATACACAAATCTTATCCCTACTTTGTGTTGATAGCTAGTTTTACTAGTCTAATTTATGTGACATTCTTTCTTTATATGAAAAAGTGTCAATTGCTGCTAAATTATTTGAAATAAATCACTTATACCTTTTGTTACAATTTGAAATAAAAAATGTCCCCGCCGTTATTCAAAGAGACCACAAATTTTCTCAAGAGTTAACAACCCAGATTTTTAGTGACGTAACAAGACACGTGAGAATAATCCCTCCACCTAAGTGTTACTAACTAGGATTCACTTAAAAAAGACAACGGGAAACTTACATTAAATATACTATATTAAGAAAATATTTACCATTTATAGTAGTATTATTTCTTTTCACTAGATCACTTTTAATACGTTTATAATTTATAATACAATTTTAATACATATTACGGAGAACAATTTATAAAACACATATAATACAAGTTTTATTGGTGGATAATATATATA